GCTTTATTGCGTCTATGCGTGCCGTATATCCGCTCGGCCGACCGGCTCCACGACCGGGTTTATTCATGAAGAATTCTCCTGAAACCAAACAAACATCCTTAAAAGATATGAATGTTGTCTATGCCTTCACATGCTCACTTGGGGACTGTCAGCCCCAATGAATTCAATATATATAGACAAGACAACAACATCTCTTTCAAGAGGCCTAACAATGCACAAGCTGCAAGGACCTATAAAAGAACATATAATCTCTATACATAACCAGACCATCACCAGAGATATACTCTCAAACAACACCAAAACAGGGCTGTCTTAATAGCATTATGGGCCCCTGGGCAAACCAGTGTGCTGGGGTCCCTACGACAACCACAGCAACTAATAAACATGATAAACATTTGAACAATACACAAGGCTCAGCAGCTCTAGTATACCTAAATAATTGCCATTTTTTGCTGACCCAATAATTTGATTTTCTCCACAAAATGGCAAACCTCTAGAGGCAAAAAGGCGAATTACAGAAACCACAAGTGTCAACACTATATGCCAATATTCCTGCTCTGAGCGATGTTGCTCAAGTAATAAAGAATCTACACTTCCAGTTTCTTTATGCCTTATCAATTATGCTGTCATACACTTACGATGTTGTTCTTCACTTCGTTTTATACAATAACATTGCTGTGCTTCCTATCACTGAACCCCAATGTAGCAAAGGGATTTTCTTGGACAATAGGCGACATACAAAGCAGTACAAACGACCTTGGGATGGTGAATAGAGTAGCCATTCACGTTTTACATACTCGCCATTCCACAGTTCACATTTGAACACATTGTTTGATAAATACCCTGCCTTCATATTCTCTACTCCAGCTGTTTTATACACTCTGCGTGAGTTTGAAAGGTTGCTATCGTAATTCTTACATGATGAGGGTCCACTATGAATCCAGTAATCTATTGTGTTAGTATCATTAATGTTCCATAGCCCTGGATCTGTCCCTTGGATTGCAAACTCCTTTACTGTTACAGATTTGGGTATTTTATCTTGTAAAATGCCACCAACAGGCAATAATGGTATGTCTGCTGAAACTAGACGACTGGCTGCTGGAAAGGATGTGGATGCTATATCTGAAAGAACAATACTAGTGGCTGACATTGCAGGAGTGGATGCTATATCTTAGTATATGGTATGAGTGGCTGTCATTGCACCTGTGTTGAGCCACGAAATTAATTTTGGAAGTTTCCTATTTACTCCTTCTCCTCTGCAGCTCTCTTCCTCTTCTGTGCTCCACTCAAAATATTACATTTAATTTCTGTTGAAAGTGTTATTCATCTGGAAATATATATATTAAATACTAGCTGTACCCGGCCACGTGTTGCTGTGGCTCAGCAACTCATGTGAGTTCCTGAGCCACAGCAACCTTCCCGTCTCCCAGTCCTCCCCACCATTCCCCCTCCCCATCCCTTTGTCCTTCCCTTCATCCCCCACTCCAGCGTCCTCTCGTCCTCCTAACCATTCCCCACTCCACCGTCCCCTCATCCTCCCCACCATCCCCCACTCCCCTGTCCCCTTGTCTTCCCCACCATTCTCCATTCCCCTGTCCTCTGGTCCCCAACATCCCCTTGTCCTCCCCCATCACCTTGTCCTCCCTTGTCCCTTTGTCCTCCCCACCATCTCCCACTCCCCCATCCCCTCGTCCTCCTTCCATTCCCCCCCTCCCCCATCCACTCATCCTCCACTCCCCTGTCCCCTTGTCCTCCCCACCATTCCCCATTCCCCTGTCCGCTCGTCCCCACCATCCTAAACTCCCCCATCCCTTGTCCTCCCACCAATATCCCCTCCCCTGTACCCTCGATCTCTCCACCATTCTCCCTTCCCCTCTCCCCTCGGCCTCCCTAACATTACCCCCCTCCTTTGTCCCCTCATCCAATGCTTTCCCAAATGATCTGATGTTCCCATTACTGAAAATAAGAAAAACAATTAAAAAACTAAATGAAAAACATTGAAACAATAAAAAAATAAACTATACTCACGAAATGAACAGTATGGTAAACAACACAGTTCAATTGCAATGCAATGTCACGCAAAATAATTAAATGAAAATGAAAATACTGTAATTGAAATCTATGAAAATTCTATTTGTCAATGCAATTGGAAACATTGAAAAGGAATTGTAACATAGTTAATATAGCATGTGTGTCTCCTATATGCAACAGATGGCGCTGTTTCTTAAAAAAAATTCAGACCTACCTGGAAGTTACCTTGAAGTGTTTCCGAGGCTTAGCGTCCCCACGGTCCGGTCATCGACCAGGCCTCCTCGTTGCTGGACTGGTCGGCCAGGCTGTTTAACGCGGCTGCTCGCAGCCTGACGAATGAATCTCAGCCTGGTTGATCAGGTATCCTTTGGAGGTGCTTATCCAGTTCTCTCTTGAACACTGTGAGAGGTCGACCAATTATGCCCCTTAAGTGTAGCGGAAGCGTGTTGAACAGTGTCGGGCCTCTGATGTTGATAAGAGTTCTCTCTCAGAGTACCTGTTGCACCTCTGCTCTTCAACGGGGGTATTCTGCACACCCTGCCATGCCTCCTGGTCTCATGTGATGTTATTTCTGTGTGCAGGTTTGGGTCCAGCCCCTCTAACATTTTCCACGTATAAATTATTATGTATCTCTCCCGCCTACACTCAAGAGAATACAGATTTAGGCTCTTTTAGTCGGTCCCAGTAGTTTAGATGTTTTACTGAGTGGATTCTAGCAGTATTAGGATCCTAGTAGCAGCAGACAACAAAATTTATAACTTAAAATATTTAGTTTATGAAAAATCTATTCTAATAGGATTGTAGAACAGACAGCGGCGCACATTATACTGTATGTAAAAATGGTGAGAATCGGTCAGAAAATGGATTTTTTGAGGCTGACTCAATGTTGAAACTCTAGTTTTAGAGATAATTGAAGTTATTGACAATGTATAAGGTAGTTCTAATTCATTAATTTACTTGTATGTTTTAATAAACATTATTTGGCATTCGTACTCGAATATGTGGCAGTTGTAGGTCAATATGTGTTGAAATGAAGTCAAGAAAAAATAACTCTCCCTAAAATACAAAATATAGGGATAATTATAATAATTATAATGATTTAGGGGATATATTTAGGGAATACTTTATATAAGTCAAAAAGCCCTAATCTGGTCCCTAATCATCGAAACAATTTAAAGAAATAAGGAAAATAGAGTTTGAAATCTGTGAAAAAATCAGCCAAAAAAAATTCAAAGTCCCAAGTTCTGCCAGTTATGACTGACTTATTTGGTGACCAATTTAATTCTATCTTCACATAGTTATGGAAGGATATGCATTCTCCGGGGTGTAGAGGTTACAATAAAATCAGATAAACAAAAAAGAAAAAAAAAAGTGGACATTGGTGAATGTAACAGGTATTACTATTGGACATTGTATTTGTATGATATATAACAAAATAGAGCATAATAACATACTCATTATTATTTGTGTTAGCAAATACTCAGCAATGCTATAAAGGCACCAGCTGCATATCCACTTTGTGGACACTTCTTACTACTATTCTTTTTCTTTGTGCATCGGACAGGTGCTTGTATTTGCTTATTACTGCATTATCCCTCAGTTCCAGTTAATAGGAGCTGTTCTCCTTATCAACAAAACATTATTCTTTTAAAAAAAAATTGTCTAAAATCCATTTCTGAAAATATTGTGATGAAACTTTCACGATGCTGAAGCCAAAATGTTGGAGATTTGTTTAACATTTAATACTAGTTTTCACATAATTCAAATATATTTTTACCCAGCCCCAGCTTATACCCCCCATTTACAACCCAGGCTATAGCAGTGTAAGGGTTAATTGGTACTGCAAGGGACCAGGTTCTTAATGCCTGTGTACATGCATATAGGGACCATTTACTCAAGTATTTTTTAGTGATAGGCCCTGATTGTTTGGGATTATGTGTGGGATTTTGATTAAGTAAATTATAGAATATTATTGATAGGTTGGGTTATGTACAATAGGTTTGTATTGTACTGGGGGGGGGGGGGGGGAATTAGGGTAAATAAATAATATATTAAGGGTTTTACTTGGAGTTTCCATCGCCCTTGCAGTAGTAGGGTAGGGTATCACTCTAGACAACAGACCATATTTGGCAATATTTATCTGTGCTGGGAATTGTTTTCCTGGGGGGGGGGGGGAGGGGGGGGGCAGGCTTTAGCTAACCCCACTGATTGGAACTCCATCACCTTAAACATTGACCCTACCGAGCAAGCATTACGTTCTATAACAGGGCCACGCTTGATTTAAAGAAAGCAACAGCCACTCCAGGCTGTTGCTTGGAGTGGCTCGCAGGCCCACATATCCACCACAGCCTGGGTGGTTCAACACTTTTGAAGAAAACTAGCCAGTTTTCTCTTCAAAACGTCTGCATTTGTTCCAGGAATATTTCTTATGCTTGCTGGGAGTATGTTGAACAAATGTGGACCTATGAGTGAGGTGCTTATTTACCTCATCATCTTCACCTCATCCTCTGGTACATATTATGCACCAAGATAATTTGAAATCTTTCCAGCTCTGCCTTTGACAGTGTTAACAAAAAGTCAACGAAAAGCAACTGGTAGCGTCAGTTTTATTTTACAGTTTTATTCGGCCCACTGCCAAGATCTGCATTTTGTAACTCTTGTTAACACTGTCAAAGGCAGAGTAGGAATGATTACAAAGTGTCTTGTTGCATGATATGTACCCAAGGATGAGGTGAATGAGATGAGGGTGAAGCACCTCACTTATAGGAACACTGTATCTTGTCACTCTTGTTTGCATGATGGCTGGGGCAGTATTGTACTGTATGTTGTATGTTCCGTCGTGTTCTGGACGTTGGCAGAGTGTAACTTGGTGCTAGTTGGCCGTTGATACATAGCTTGGTTTCCATTATGTATAATGCCTACATAAATATTATACTTAAGGGATTATACATAAAGCACATTTTAGACAATAATTTTTCATGACTATTTTATTCTAAAAATGTTATGTTCTAAGTACAGATACAAGATAATCTATTAAGCATTACTATAATTAGCTGGTGCATATTATACAATCATCAACTTTGAACTTCTTATTGTTAAAATATATATTTTCATAGGAAAATTATCATAATTCTAACAAAAAAAATCACTCATCCAAAAAGTTACTTAGAAATAATATAAATCAGTTTGTATCCATTTCTTCAGGTTCTGGGACCTCTTCATCACTCAAATCTCTGTCAATCACATCTTCAATTTCCACATCATTCATTGTTTCCTCTTCAGTCTCGGGTCCAAGTTCTTGCAGCAATTCTTTCAGGTGCTCAACCAGCTGCTCGTCATCACAAGGAGCGGCGGCATGTACCTGTTAAAACAAAGAAGCTGTTAATATGCAGCCATGTCTAGCCTTTGTTAAGTGGGTTTGTCCAAACTGCTTAAAGACTTTCTTCGACTTCTTCCTTGGAATTTCAGCCATTCAATTACTTTTCTTACAAACATTTGCTTCTATAATAATATATTTTCATAACTTTTAGTAATGCAGTACACTGCCTCTCATCTGTGTGTGTGTGTGTGTAGTGATTTTTTTTTTTATATATATATATTTATACCTTGCTTTCTCCTTAACATTTCTCAATATTAGAGCTCATCAAAGAATTAGAGCATCAGATGAAATAAAATATCCATTTCTGAGCAATGCATAGATAACTGCTCTGAACTACATGCTCTGGCCTGATTCACACACTCTCAAACTTCTACACTATGAGCAAGTCTTAGTTTGCAAGGTTACTTGTTTTTTTGGGACTGTTTTATTCCCTAATTAATGAGGTGAGGAGTTAATGATAGAGAACAAGCTCACAAATTATCAAGGCAAATTTGCTATAACACACAAACCCTCCAAACACTCCTGCAAACAACTCTTGGTAACTCAAAAATCATTACAATTTGTTCTGAAGCTAGTGAACCACTATCAACTACCCTGTCTGTCACCCAGTGGCAGTAACACTGTATTAATTTAAGTTAAGGGGTCGAGTAAGCTGGCCACTTTACTTATGGCTAACCCTTAGTTATATGGGTTAGGGGACTTGGGGACTATGCTTGGTCCCCAAGCACAGAATCACTTAAACGCTATGACCCCTCAGTACAGGTATTCGAACCCAGGCTGCCGTGGGTTTTGTTATCAATAGCACTGATCAACAAACACCCGACAACAAGTGACATGGTGGAGGCTGACTCCATACACAGTTTCAAATGTAGATATGATACAGCTCGAGAAGCTCTGGAATCTGTACACCAGTAGATTGACGGTTGAGAGGCAGGACCAAAGAGTCAAAGCTCAACCCCCTCAAGCACATCTAGGTGAGTACAGTGGAATCTCGACTTACAAATACCCCTACTTATGAATTTTTTGAGCTATGATCCCAATTTCGTCGGAAAATTCAACTCGACTTACGACCTTTGTTTTGACTTGCGACTTTGTTGATACAAGTATGGGTCGACCGAGCCGATGGTTACTGGTGGCACGGGCGACCACGCTTCAGTTTACCAGTGTCACCCGCCTAGTGACGATCACACTTGAATATTATATTTGGGAGGACAACAGGATGGATGGTGAGGGAAGTGGATGGTTGGATGGATGATGAGGGGACTTTTTTTTTTTATTATTATTATTATTTTCTACCACAGACGTGGCCACACGTTAACAATGCTAACCAGCATATATACATTTTCTTCGGTCCTCCATGGACAGGGTTAGAGATGTGTTAAACATATAGTTCAAGAGTTTATTGAACAATCAACCACAGAAGGTGATTTGGTGCTTTTAAAATGCTAAGCTAAGCTACATACGTAAATACATAGATACACAGATTTGTGTATCTAACTCACACCCCAGAAGTGACTCGAACGCATACTCCTAGGAGCAACGCAACTGGTGTGTACAGGACACCTTAATCCACTTCTGTTGGAGTCACTTCTGGGGTGCGAGTTTTCAGTTGCATATAGTCCTGGGGACCATTCAGGCTTGTTCGCATTTGTGTTCCTCACGTGTGCCCCAAAAAATGAGGTAATTTGATAAAATACGTTGACCAGACCACACACTAGCAGTTGAAGGGACGACGACGTTTCGGCCCGTCCTGGACCATTCTCAAGTCGATTGTGATGAGGACAGGTAGGGACAGGCAATAAATAGGCAAGAGAGAGCTGAGGAGGAAAGTAAGATGTAGGGGATAGTAGCAATAATGAGAACTGCAGAAGGCCTATTGGCCCATACGAGGCAGCTCCTATTATAACCACCGAAGGAGATAGTAATAGGAATAAGAAGAGGATAGCAAGGGAGCGTAGGAGAAGACAATGCACAGAAAAAGGGAGAAGAGAGAAAGAAAACAGAAAAAGAAAGAAAATGGAAGGGGTAAGCTTATGTTAAGTCACGTTTGTTAGAAAGATTAGAGCATTTGAGTATATATTGTGAAAGGGAAGAGTCCACAGCAACAAAGCCAGGACTCAAGTTCATGTTGGGTACATTGTTTATAAGAGCCGATTCTACAAGACGGCGTCTGTGTAGAGTAGAGGCAGGAAAGATTATTTTGGAAGAAGACCAATCAACAGGATCATTAAAATCCCTAACATGACAGAAAAAAGCATTGTTTGCATCTGCAGACTTAACACTTCTCTTGTGTTCCTTAAGTCTCTCATTTAGTGTATGGCCAATTTCCCAAAAATATTGGAGAGGACAAGATGAACAGGAAATAAAGTAGACACCAGCAGCATTAGAAGGAGGAGCAGTGTGAACCCGATTACTACGAAGAGTGTTAGTTGAAAGGCGAGCTTAATGTCAAGAGGATGAAGGGTATTAGCAAAAGTTTTGAGTTCAGATATGAAGGGAAGGCAGAGCACAGTGCTAGGAGTGTTGGAAGCAGGTTTAGGATGAAAGAAATTTTGTTTAGCTTGAGAGTAGGCACAGTTGATGAAATGCAAAGGATAACCAAGGCGAGAGAATGATTTGTAGATAAAGGCAATTTCAGAATCAAGAAACTGAGGGTTTCTTGAAACTTGATAAAATACTATGCTCAAGATTACCATCCGAGTGCCGGCGAGGGGATGGTTCAAATAGCTTCGACTATCACCTCATTATGTCCGGTCGTGATGGTCGAGTGGATTAAGGTGTCCTAAACACACCAGTTGCGTTGCTCTTGGCAGTATGGGTTCGAGTCACTTCTGGGGTGTGAGTTTTCAGTTATTTAATATATATATATATATATATAATTATATATATATATATATTATATATATATATATATATATATATATATATATATATATATATATATATATATATATATATATATATATATATATGATCGATGTTCCCTTCGGGAATCTTAATTTTAACACTTTCTGAGGATGAGGACTCCTCGCGGCGTCCTGTTTCGCCTACCCGCTCCCGCATAGTGGACATAAAGTTATGTCCTCTTTTAACCCTTACACTGCTCAGGGGTCCTTGGGACATTTACACCCCTGTGCGCAAGAAAAAAAAAAAATCAAAATTTTTTTTTCGTCTTCTAAACATGTTAGTTTGTGTCCCCTGAGCACGGGAAAAAAAAAAAAAAAATCGTAGGTGACATATTTTGGGCGCAATTGACTGAGGAATTCTGGCAAAAAGTGGGCGTTGACAGAGCGGTCGTCAGACCCGGTCAGCGTCACCCGCGTTGACAGATGGGAGTTGCCACAAAGATATTATTACCTAATTGTTTCAATGTCTCCGATTGATTTTTTCTTAGTTTTTTTGCAGTAATATTATTCAATATTGTGTATTGTAATATATTTATATAATAAAAGTGGTTAATAATCGCTATACTCAAAAGTATGATGTGCATATTAGTGATTCAATTATTATGTTTATAAAACTATAAACAAATAGTTTTGCTGCTATTACACTCTATACACAGGTTATATATAAGTATTGGCATGTTTTGGTCACCATAACGAACCACTAAGTTGGTATTGAGAATCGAAAAGCAACGAGGAGTTACTGCCACACACCAGCCAGCCACTCGCTGCCACTCCCTCAACACACACACTAAACTTTCTCCCCCAACAATACCAGTTGTGGTGTTATTACACTATATACAGACGTTATATATAAGTATGTGTATATTTTGTTCACAACTGTACAGCTAAGCTGATATAGTTAGTTCAGGCACTAAGAGTCGTCGCTATACACAGATGGCGGCTGGCGGCTCCCTCACTCTTTCAAGGTCACACGCACTGAACTTTCTCCCCCAACAATACCATTTGTGGTGTTATTACACTATATACAGACGTTATATATAAGTATGTATATATTTTGTTCACCACAACTGTACAGCTAAGCTGATATAGTTAGTTCAGGCACTAAGAGTCGTCGCTATACACAGATGGCGGCTCCCTCACTCATTCAAGGTCACATGCACTAAACTTTCTCCCCCAACAATACCAGTTGTGGTGTTATTACACTATATACAGACGTTATATATATGTGTATATTTTGTTCACCACAACTGTACAGCTAAGCTGATATAGTTAGTTCAGGCACTAAGAGTCGTCGCTATACACAGATGGCGGCTGGCGGCTCCCTCACTCTTTCAAGGTCACACGCACTAAACTTTCTCCCCCAACAATACCTTTTGCAGTGTTATTACCCTATATACACATATTATATATAAATATCTACATGTTTTATGCACCGTAACTGTACACCTAAGCTTGTAGTGCGCCCAAAGAGCATAGTGGCCACCCTCTAAACAGCTAGACAAATCGTGCAGACGACGTCACCTCCGTCACCCATATGGCTCCTCCCAGCATAATCCTTTTGCTGTTATTACACTAATACACACATTATATATAAGTATCTACATTTGTGTTCACCATAGAGAACCATTGACCTGGTATGGTGAATGCAAACAATAACAGGTGGCCACACAGTAAACGATGCTGTCTCCCTCCGTCTCTCAGCATCACTCCTCCCACAGCGCTGATTATTACAACAATCCTGCTATTATCACAACCCTGGTTATTTATATCACAGTCATTGGTCATCTGTAATATTGTCATCGCTAAATAATAACAATTATATATTTATTTTGACATTTTTCGGCGATGCTGTGGTCACAAGCTGAACATCAATGCTGTTCGCTCATGCTGCGTGCGCCGGCCTTGGTTGTTCCAACAGTACTGTGCCTCTCACACCTGAGAATATTGCCCACGATTTTTTTTTTAAATTGCATCTGTTTACAAGAGCCCTGAGGAAGCTACTGTGAACCCCGTGTAGCCGCGGGCCATTTGAATCAGGCCTGGCACCCTATGGCGTATATATACGCCATGCGCACC